TCTAACAGTTTGACATCAATATACACTTACTTTCTAACAGTTTGACATCAATATACACTTACTTTCTAACAGTTTGACATCAATATACACTTACTTTCTAACAGTTTGACATCAATATACACTTACTTTCTAACAGTTTGACATCAATATACACTTACTTTCTAACAGTTTGACATGAATACTTTTTGGTACATCAATTTTGTTAGAAAAATACTGTTATTTATTATTATTAATATTATCCCCACCTACCGCAAAAAACAGAAACATTTTAAATATCTTAATGGCATCTTCAGCGACTCCTGGCGCCAAAACTTAATGATATTTCTCTTCTCTGGTAAATAGCAGATAAGAACATAAGGTAGCATCGTCATAAAAAGGTTTCAAACTGGAATAATAGATTGGAAAACGAAATAGAAAGCGTTTCTATTTGAAGTAAAATACGTACTGTATTCCTACCATATAAAACTATATTTACTGATGTTGATATAGGTAAATATTCATATATATATATATATGTATATAGGGAGAGAGGAAGATTTTCTGCTTCGGTTAGTTTTCTTAAAAACAGTCGTTCATACTTTCTATGTATTTACCTTTTACTTGAAAAAAAACCTTGTAAGTATGTTTCACATGTTACATTTGTCTTGTAGCACTTGATTCCACGAGGGAATCCCGTAAAGATGGTGAAATTGTTTGATGGAGAGCTTCATGAGACTTAAGGTGTAAAAAACAGGAAGCAATGCTCAATTGTATTGACGTCGAAATCTCTTGACAGCTGTTAGTTTAGTCGTTGTAAAGGAGATGAGACATATAATATTAAATATGTGTTATACGCGAAAAATGTATTACTCGTCCTTTATATAATATTGAAGCCTCAAACATGCCGAAAATTTGCAGTCAAAGTCATGTATTAATAATCCATGTTGTCCATTTTCATTTGAGCGACAGCAGTCTGTGGATAAACAAACAAACAAGAAACAAAACTCTGCATCAACTTTTAGAACCCAATTAAATCAAATTTTGTACAGAAACTCCTCTTTCAATGCGGATTTTCTATCCCATTTCCCCTTACCGGTCTACCTGGAAACAATACGAAACAAAAGAATATTTCACTAGCTTCGTCCAGCAAGACTTTGAATACGGTATACCGAATCCCAGGCCTAGGCTGGTACAGCCCGGCACGGCTTCCACGTCAAAAACAATGTTGCGAGGTTTTCCTGACCTTGTTGAATATGGGGGAAAGTGTGGAAAAATTCATTGTGTGAATTTAGAGGATTCGAAGAAGACGCTTTCTCTTCTTGGGAATTAATAAGTGAACAAAAAACAAACGAATATTGGGTGGTATGTAATATTCGATAGAGTATGTAATCAAACAAGTAATGCATGATTTAAAGTTACTGCAAACCTACAGACATATAGTTAGACAGGTATGATGTAAACGAAATTAGAACGACTTTAATAATTAGCTCCAATGAATGTTTTTTACAACATATAGATAGGAATAGGGATATTGACAAACTGAATACTGAAACCAAAATATAAGTTGAAACAGTAAAATGAATTATTGTACGCATGTGGTCCTACAACTGGAGTCACGTATCACGAAGTTGTTTTAACGTATTATCATATAACGGATGTAGAAGATACGTCCGAATAACACCTATATCTTACTTACAAAAAGATATCCGTAATAAATGACTGCGTCACGACCTGACACAGTCGTCGATGTCTGGTGGTCACGACATAGCGAAGGTCACTCAACCCTTACAAGTTGAGGTGGTACTGAAGAGATTGCGAAACATAGCCCGCACGTAAGTAGGACTTTTAAATACTGATAGAATACATTTCACGAGTATAGCTATCCACTAGCAATACATAATATTTCCAAAATTTTGAATTGAACAGGTATTGCGATTTGTTGAAACACTGAACTCTCATACTTGTACATTTATAAAAGCTCTTACCACTTCAAAACAACAGGTTTCACAAACGTTTATAGTTTACACGTGTCTGTGTGAATTAGAAAGTTTAAACTTGTCAAACGTGTTTAAAGACAGACATTTTCTGAGTAAATTCATTCTCGTTCTATCCAGAAATAAAAATCGAAACAAATATTAGTACATCCTGTTAACAGATAATTATTTATTTTCTTAGTGACTTTCATATTAATTTGGTTGTGTCAGGCTTATTTCTTATTTTGAAGAAGAATTTACACGCCAAGTATAACTATGCTATCATTCACAGGTAGAAAAATAACGCGTAAGATTAAGATTACTGAAATAAATGTGAGGAAAAGAATTAACAAAATAGGAGTTTGAAGAGGTAAAGTCGCGTATCACATGTGTTAACGTAACATTAATTAAAATAACAACTCATTTGGATGAAGTGAGAGTTCGAATAAGGATTAACTTTAGTGGAAATCACATTGGTTAGCCCAAACAATGAAATGGATAAAATCAGTTATGGATCAACACATAAACATTTTGTTTTGTGGAAAACAAGTGTTAGGGGATAAAAATTGGATTACTAATAATAGAGGAGAATATGAAATAATGAAAACAATAAAATCACACGTGTTAATTAAAAAAATGAAAGAAAAAATAGGATTTAAAGTATAGTAAACGGATGTGAGATTTTTTAACACAGAGGGTAGGAACAACTATAAGTCTAAAATACATAAAACTATTCACCAGGTGTGTGTATTTGTTTGAAGTTAAGCATAAAGCTAAACAATGCACATCACGGATATCGAAACCCGGTTTGTTTGTTTGTTTGTTTG